AAGGAGCATCTTGATCTATTTTAGGTTCTTTGTTTCCTGCATAAGGATAAGCACATGTATAAGCTTGAGCAAAGTCAATTAGTTTCCAAAGCATGAAAAATGTGCAGCACATTGTGGAAGCATAATAAATTAAAATATTAAATCCTCTGTTCGCAACTATCTTCCACTGTACCTTCCTTCCATGTAGTCTTAAATCATAAATTTTTACATGTTTAATTATTACCAAATGCTATTATATTTGATTCATATATGGATCTTGTTTGATCTTACAGATCTGTTATGTTTTTGGAGCGAAATAGATGTGATTCTGTTGTATCTTTATTATAATATTTAAATATAATAAATATTTATTACGTCATCCGGTTCGACAACGGTTCGACCCCGGTCGAGCCATCAAACCTCTAACCTCTCATTCTTCCGGTTCATTGACTGGTCCGGTTTTAAAAGCCTTGGTTAAGAAGTTGTTTTTTATTGCAATTTAAAAAAAAAAAATTTAATTTCACCACAAGATATTTACTGTTACCTTAAAAAAAAAGATACTGTTGACTGTTGTCCCAAATAGATTGTTAGTGACTTTGATTATAAAAAGTAGTTTTCTAATTAGAAATTTTTAAAAAATAGTGAAAATTCAATAAAAAAACTAGTAGTCAAATAAAAATGTGTTTGATTTTTAAAAAATAAAGCAACAAAAAAGCTATTCCAAGCATACCCTAAATCTCTTTATTTAATTATCAGAAGATTTTTCTATCATAGAAGTGATTTATTTTTGCTTAAAAAAAAAAAAGGTTTAATTTTGACTGCTCTTTTGCCACTCACATTCATAGTCTTATGTAAAAGAGCCGTTACTTTTGTTATTTATTATTAACATTTACTCATTCCTCAATGATCTTAAGCTAGAAAAAATATTTTCTGCGAAAGTCAAATCCGGTCCGGATAACTAAGCCTGTGGCTCGGTACTGGGGCTCGGTACTGTGGCTTGGTATCGCTGATGTGACTCATTCTAGTTGGTATTTGAATGTAGAGTTGCGTTTGGCGTCCGCACAGAATAATCTCTCCTTAAGTTGGGCCATCTATTCTTCAGCGAATGGGGAAGTGATTACCACAAGCTTTTCAACATTATTATTATTATTTATATGCAAATTTTCAAATGCTGGGGTGGTCCTGTGAGATTAATTCAAATAATAATTATCTTCTATTATTTTTTATAGATAAAATGATATTTGAATGTGGTAGTTTAAAAATTTTCAATTTATTGCTAGAATAATTGATAAGGTTTTAAGTGTAAAAAATTTTAGTGTTAAGATATATGATGCAATATGGGAATATTTTGTAGAGTTTGATGTAATTTTTTAAATTTGTAATTAAGATCATTATAATTTTTTTTATGTGAAAGTTAGATACTAAAGAAAAAATAGGAATGTTAAACATGGATTTGTGATATAATTAAATAAGTAATTTATTTAATGATAATTATCTTATAGGGGTAATGACAGTTATTCTATTGAAGATAAGATAATGAAAAATAAATTTTAATGATTTTGACATATGCCAAAGAGAATTGAAGAAGTCCTAATAAGATTAGCAAATAAAATTAAATTAAATAATTTGATAAAAAATAAAGGTCGAACGAATGACAAATTAGATAAAATTTATGCAAAAATAAATTTAATATTTCATAAAATATTCAGTAATTTTATATGGGGGTTGAGAATTTGTTAAGTAATTAGGTCATTGTTGTTGAAGAAGATTATTAGAGGTTATTAATGCCATATTTTTTATTAATAAGCTCTCAGACACATTCTTATGAAATAATTTATTTTCTTTCAACTTTGATTTTGTTTGGGATGACATTTTTGCTAATTTTTAAATCAAAATTTTAATACAAAAATTAAAATTTATGTACTAAAAAATTGTTTTATTATTTTTGTATGTCTTATTCTCATCTTTAAATAAATCTAACTCATTTAAGATTTCACTAGCTTATTAGAAGGTCTCCATCAGTAGATATTGCATGCATGGATAACTAACACACCATGTAATATTTTTTTTTTCTCATAACGGTCTCCACTTCTATTCTTTTCTATTGGGAGAGCCACAGCTTTTCTCCTTATTAGATGATTGCTTATAAAATTATCAGATCATTAAAATTTTTTTCTGAATATTGTGACAGCACCCCACCGGGTTTAGCTGGGTTGATGGGCGAGCATGGTTGGGAACCCCCCAACCCACATTCGATTCCTCTCTCATGCGGTACGACTCCTTAAGTCGGGAGAAAATAAGTTCGTGGTCCGGCACCTGTGGGGCTGGTTACCGCTAGGTCCACCGAGAAATTAGTTACTCAGCCAAGCGCATTCTCTACAGGAGTGGCAGCGGGTAGATACCCTCGTTCCCCCAAATAGGAGTCCTCCAAAGGAAATGGTGGCCATTCAAACTGGTGGAAGGAGGGACGAGTTGGCGTTAGTCTTCGCCTAGTATTTGGGCTTTAGCCTCTGAGTGCATGGTGATGATGAATTTCATTCATAATTGATCAATAGTTTAATTAGATAAGTTAGTGCATTATTTCTGCTCACTTAGGTTGCATTAAAGCCACTAGTTAAGGGTCACAAGCAGAGATTATTAATGGAATTTTATGCAAAGTGGGTGTGGCTCTAATGTTTCATTAAGGTTGTGGGATTTTGGCTTTTTCTTTCACTTATTTGTTCTTAGAAGTCTAGTAGGAGTTCCTCTTTACTCAGCTCATCTAATACCAAAACTGAAACTTAAGAAATTAGTTCTTATCAAGAGTCAGTTTCATTATGAGAACGCTTAACTATGAAGTTTTTAAAAAAAATTATATTCTTGTTAACGGTTGGTTTGGGATAGTTTTATCCCTACTTAGTGTTTCAGATAACAATCATATTTCTATTTAACTACTGCTCTCTTGATATTTTGAATTTGAATCTACAACTTTGTTAGAAGCTCTTGTTTGTCCAGGATTTCATTTGAGATAGCTTTTATATTAGTTTTAAAGCAGTTTTTTAGTTCAAAAATTTTTTAAACTTGAAATTTTTTACTGAAAAACTGCTTTAAAAAACAGTAAGAAAAATGTCTTAGACGAAGCCCAAATTACAGTAAAAACAAATTACTCGTTGCTATCATCAAGCCGCCCATTTTTGAATTTATGAAAAAGTTTTTTTTGGGCGAAGATTAAAAAAGTTGGAGAAATTATCTTCATGTGGGCGTAGGCGAGTACATGTGGAAGAATTAGCTGTGGCGATCGATCCTTTTTGCCTCCCAACTCTACAAGTGCTGAGATCTGAGAAGCATCAGTTCTCAAGAGGTGGACTGATTGTGATATAAAGAATGTTAGTATTCTGTCTGATTCTCACTGTGAGCGATTTCATTATAAAAGAATATACAGAGTCGCTTTCGAAGGGGATCGGAGCTGTTTGTTTTCTCGTTAAAATCCATACGTTCTCTCTGAGATTTCTTCCAGAAAATCACTTGGAAAGTCAGAGTGTTTGGCATCACGTTTCTGAAATTATCTTCATGCGGGGTTTGCCGACTGGTTCATGGTTGAACTACTTGAACCAGTTTGTCCGATCCAATTTTTAAAATCTGGTAAAAAATATCACGCTTATCTTTTCCGTTTCGTTTCATTTTCTCTAATGTGAACCGATGGGCTACTGTGACACATAGGGCCAATTATTATGTCCAGTAACCGGACGTCCGGACATCCAATCCAGACGCGCCACATCATCTAAATATACCGGAATCCGATGCATTTTGGTGACGTGATGCATCTGGATTGATGTGCGGACGAATCCGGACACCGGACGTAATAATTTGCAGAAACATAGAGCCTCAAATGGTGGAGCCGGTCGGAGGCGGAAGCTTTGCGTGAGAGAGAGGAAAGGTCGCGAGGATCGCGCGCTGGATCGGCGAGCACCTCAGGCCCCTAAGCAGGGAGCGACTTGCACGGATGTGGGTCAAGAGAGGTAGAGTGCGCATCACTTTCTTCCTCTCCAACAGGAGGAGTCAACAGGCAACAGGAGGAACCGACCTTCGAGAACAAGCGGTTGAGAAGTTATCAGGAAGCTAGGAATTGGTTTTATTATTATTATTATTATTATTTTAGGGTGGTATGTAAGAAAATAAAAAAGAGTTTTTTTTTTTTTTGGAACGGGTATCCACTGTTGCCACCCCAAAAGAGAAATTATTAGGTGCGGAGTGCGTCCGGAAACCAATAAAAATGCGCCACGTACGTCATCTCATTGGTGGGTATCCAGCTCGGTACCCGCACTCGGTACCGCTGGGTATCGCTAGGTACATAGTGCTTGTGCGGATGGTTCTCCCATCCGCACTCCGCACCTAATAATTCGAAAGGGGGCATGACGACGTGATTAATCCTCGATTGATCTATAAGAGGCACCCACCTCATAAACCTCTTGCCCCGCATTTGCTTGGGAGAGAGATTATTATGTGTGGTGTTTGGACCATCCGGAGGCGAATCCGAATGTGCCACGTTACCCGTATGCACTAAGCCCCGGGTGATGTGGCGTATCAGGATTCGCCTCCGAATGAATCCGGACGCCTCATCACGTAATAATTTTCCCCACTTAAGAGGGGCTTATGCTCGAGGAAAATCGAGCACAAGTTGAAAATTCCCAACCGTACTCGCCCACCAATCAAACTAATCATGGGTAATAAAAAAGAATTTAAAATATTAATAAAAAAAATTAGCATACTGCAACTGTAAACTTTGTGTGTTTTTTTAATTGATTATAAAACGCATTATAGCAGAGAAAGGCCCTACTTTAGCTGCATCATAAGCAATAAGTTTTGACCAAACGGGCCTTTAAGGAAATAAGAAATAAATGAATAAAAAAAGACCAGCTAGGCAGTGTACTTTTCACACACAGCAATGATAACAGATAACAATATGCTCTAACATGTCATTTACAAAAAAAAAAAAAAAAAAAAAAATGTCATTTAAAAAAAAAAAAAAAAAAAAGAAGAAACAGAGGAACCCCTGGCGCTTCCACACAGCGCCAGCTGCGACCTCCACTTCATTTGTACAAACAAACAACCGTTAAAATTTAAAAAAATAAACGAAGAAGAAGAGGCCGGCTGAGCTCGACAAAGCGCTACAAACCGGCCTCACTAGTATAGATCAAATTTCTCTCTACAGATCTGCATCACAGCATAATCTATATACAACTAGAATATGTAGGTAGGTACTCACTGAAGCAGAAGCAGAAGCAGAAGAAGGAATTGGACAACTCCGGGGATCTCCACTGCCAATCCCTCAGGTAGCTTCCATTCCTGCAAAAATGTAATCGACCAGTAATTCCCATTCAGTCCTGAAACTCCAGACTCCCTTCACTGACAAACGTTCCATGGAATCCATAAGGTACTCGCGATGGCAGCTTCACGACAGCTTCCACTTTCATGTCGGAGGCGTTCACTATAAGCAGCTCTGATTTCGCCGATTCCTCGTCGTGCACAAACGCAATCACATGGCCTTCGTCTTCATTCTCTTCGTCCCCGGCTGCCGGCACAAAGTACGGCTCGCCGCCGAATTTCCCTTTCCCGTACTCGAACTTTTGCATGTCGCCGGTGGTGAGATCCACTTTGGCGAATCCGGACACTTTGGGCCATGGCTCCGCTATTGCAAGGTAGGCGTATCGGGTTCTCCGCCCAAGCCGGTTTCGGTTCACCATTCCGACCTCGAGATTAACATGCCCTGCGGACCCGACAATGGCCCGTCGGGTCGATCGGCCTGTTTTCAGGTTGAGGCGTATCTCCGTGAGCTCGCTCCGCAGGTTCTCCTCCGACTCGTTGAAGATGGAATCCGCCGGGGTCATGCAGGAGCCGATGACCACGATCTCCTCTGTCTCAGCCTCCTCCCACGCGTTCCAAAAATGGAAGCAGAAGCAATCCGGCACATCGACCCAAATCATCTCGGAACCATCAACGGCGCGCTTCGGAAGAACTCCGAACCGCGCCGTCTTCTCCTTATCGTAAACCACCGGCGAACCACCGGCGATCATTTCCTGCAACTTGAACACCACCTGCTGGTCCGGCACAACCACGAAATTCTCCGTAATGGCGAAGTCGTGCGTCATCGTGGGCTGATCCAACGGGATCGCCACGTCAGCGGATTTCTCCCCGGAAGGGGAAAAGCTAAAGTACTTCAAATAGGGCTTCTTGATTACGTCATAGCTCAGGACGAACATTTCCCCTGTCTCCGGGTCGAGCTTCGGATGCGCGATCATAGAGGATTTCAACTGTCCGCCGAAGTCGTACCGTCCGACCGTCTCGAGATCGCCGGCGCGAGTGACGCGGATGTGGTAGGGCAAGTCGTCTTCCGACATGGCGAGAAGACGGTTGTTGAAGAAGATTAACCCGGCGTTGGCGTTGCCTACGCCGCGGGAGGGGTCGAGGAGACCGAAGAGCCCGCGCGCGTAGAACAGGAGAAGACGGGCAATCCCCGAGTGGCCGTGAAGCTCCCCGATCGCCTTCGGGAAGATAGCGCGCCCCATGACCCGCTCTTGCCGTAGCCGCTCTGTTTCAGTGAATCGGCATGCGTAGGACGCGCGGCCGTCGCGAAACCTCACGGCGTGGACCATTCCGTCACCGTCGAACAAGTGATGACCAGCGCGAGGGGCGAAGAAAGGGTTCGCGCCGTTGCGGACGTAGACGCCGTTGAGAGAAGAGGGAATTTCGCCGGAAACAGGGAGGTTGTGGCGCGGGGGCGTCTCGCCGACGGGGGCGAAGTTTCCCGCAATCTGGATTTCGGGGTCGACGGTTTTGGGGAGAGAGTGATTGCGTTCGAGGAAGTTTCCAATGAAACGTTCTTCGACGGCGTCTAGCGCAGCGGCGGCGGCTAGCTGGAAAGGGTTTAAGTTAGACGGCGGGGAGCACTGATTGTACAAGGATGCGGGGAGTTCGAGGACGGAATGGGAGGAGAGCGAGCAATGAGTGGTTCCGACTGGCCTCCGGCAGCCGCCGGGTGGTTTACTGAGAGCGTTCGGATGGTTGAGATTGTTGATCACAGAGGTCCGGCGATGTTGGCGGTGGTGGGGATTTTGTATTAGGTTTGATGAGATTGATATGGAAATGGAAGAGGACATGGCTCTGGTTTTGCGTGCTCTGCTTCAGCGTATTGAGAGTGAAGGGTAGAGAGAGAGAGAGAGAGAGTTAGTAGAGCTGAGTGAGGGTGGTGTGTGAGAAGGTATGGGCATTTGTTGGAAATATATAGAGTTTGAAGGAGTCTCGGAAGCGGACGAGGAGCGGCCCGGGGTTATGGAGGGGAGGCGTATTAGACCTATTATAGAGAAGCCCACGTGGTGGATTTTCAGGGGGAAGAAAAAGGGCTGGCATTTTACTTTGAAATGTCGGAACAAAATACTGAAAAAGGCCTCTAATTGATTTAATTTATTTTTTTAATTATGATACATCATTTTAAAATAAATGATATTTACAAATTGCTATATATCGAATTCTGATTAGGATGACTGCAAAATAAATTCAAAATAAAATAAAATAGATATAGTGTAAGTCATTCTAAAATGAAGTTTGCTTGATTGCTACCAACCGTAGCCTGCCTCCACCCACCTCCGACAACTTTCGCCGGCCGCCTCCCTCACCAGCCACCTCCACCCTCCTTCGGCCACCACCACCGCCCAGCCCCACCTATCCACTTGTAGCAACACCCACTCGTTCCAGGTCGCTGGAGCCACCATCGCCAACTGCCAGCCATCTCCGTTGTCGGCCACAGCTGCTGCAGACCGCCATCATCATTGCCATAATTATTCATCTTGTAAGAAAAAATATGGCAAAATATAATAATCATGATGCTACTAATTTTTCTTTCATTTTAAAAGTAGAATAATTAATAAAATTGCAATATAATATAAATTTTAAATAATTTTTGGTATAATATATTTAAAATCAGTCAACATTTTTATAGATATATTATAATTATTTTTTATTTAGCATATTTTTCATTGAAGTTTTTTATTTTATTTTTAAATAAATCATCCATCCTCTCTCTCTCTCTCTATTATTGGGAGCGTAGTGTAGTGCCTACGATTATTGGCGAGCTCTGTAGGTGGCTAACTCCAAGCACAAGGCTTGATCTGTTCCCAGATTACCATGCCAAATTGCCCATATTGTCCTGTTTGAATTCAAAAAAAAAAAAGGAAGAGAACAAGTACTGATTCGAGCATCTAACTCGTAATTCTAAGTCTTTTTGTGTAGGGAAAGGTAATTCCAAGTCTAAAAAGGAGGTATTGTTAGGAGTAGTAGTTGGGAACTGTGATTGGAAAGAAGCTAGCTAGCTTTTAAGACAGGCTAATTCGGCATGTGATTTTAACTCAAATATCTGATTTTTTTTTTTTTTTTTGGGATTCTATTCATATTTCAATTTAGTTGAATGGCTAAAGTCATGAGAAAATTTTTATTTGGTTTGATCTTTGTGTTGATCTATTTTTTGCTTGAATACGAGTTAATAGACCGGGTATTAATTGAATTAAGACTAAATTGAGTAAAACTTTAATCAAATTTTGGCCTGAATGGAAGAGGTAAAATGTTAACACACTTTAGGAATGCTGGTTATTTCTTGAATGGTTTTGAGATTGGATGCTGGAAATAAGAGTATTGCAGAAGTGATTAGATGGACATTATGATTTTGGGAGGAAATTTATGGCCTTATTTTTGCAACTTGAGCTCATCATGAAATACAGTTGCAACTATTCACGATGGTCTTGAACTAATTTGCAATGAGTAGCTTTGTGTCTGATCTTCTATTGAGGTAAATGATTTCTAATAACTATTTGTGATAAAATTGGGTCATCTTGTAATTGCTTAGGCTATAGAAAAAGCATTAATTTTATAATGGTATGTCTAAGATAATGAATTAGGAATCATTGTGTTGGATCTAAGTTTATCCATGTGTGACACCCTATCTTACAAGGAGACGATTCAAATTTAACCTGATAACCTACATGAGTATGGATAAATAGAGAAGGAGATACTTTATAATTAAAGTGTGGTCGTAGTTTTTCACTTGTTTCTGTGAGCTAGGGTTTTTTGGTGATTGGGCCTCCCGCCCCCCTTCGCCTGGGTCTCTCCCGGCGAATGCTTTTCATCATCTTCCTGCTGTTGATTCTTTAGTTTCAAGGGAGTTTTTCATTTCCTTGTTTTTTTCTTTTGTGTTTTGTTTGCTTCCTACTTCATCCCCTTCGGCCTTAGTGGCCGGCATGGCGACGAAGTGTTTCTTGGATCCTTGTTTTTTAGATGGATCGAAGAACTCGCGATCTTTTTTGGACGCTTTATTCGTTAATGTTTTGGATGTTTGTTTCCTGTCTATCAAAACGACTACATTTCATGATTTGCCTGCTGTGTGGATCTCTGAGGAGGAGATTGTTTTGTTGGCGGCACCATTCTAGTTTGTCTTGGTTAGTTTTTTCCCCTCCCGTCGGCCTAGCTTGGATACTATCAGGAGAATTTTTTTAATCTTAAGTTGATTGCTGAATTTTATGTCACATTACTTAATCTCTCTCATGTGTTGATTAAATTATCAAATGACATGGATTATAGTAGAGTTTTTTTTCTATCGTTATTACCTAGTTTTCAATTGCTACATGAAACTTATAAAATGGTCTCCTTCCTTTGATATCAGTGTGGAATCCCCGGTTATACCCATTTTGAATTTCCTTCCCCAATTTAAGGCCCCATATGTTTGCTTCCCGTATCCTTCATGCGTTGGGTTCCTTGTTTGGTTGCCCTCTAGAAGTTGATAATGCCACCTCTGTTGGCTTGCCTCCCTCCTTGGCACGTGTTCTGGCAGACTGGACATCACTAAACATTATCTTGATAAAGTGTGGCTCGATCCTTAAAAGTTGGGTTACATCCATGAAGTGCAAATAAAGGTTTTTCCTCCTTTTTGTGATCTTTGTAAAGCTATTGGTCATGTTCGGGTAATTTTCCCCAGCCCCCATTCCTGTTTCTTCTGCAAATTGTTAAGTTTCCGGTGGATTTGAATTGTTCCCTGCAGATTTTCGTCAAAAGTTTTTTTGATAGTACGGTTGAAAAAAATGTTGGAAAATACCCATCGAAGCTAACATCTGCCGCCTGCTTGAATGCCTACCAGGGCTGCTCAGCCACCTGCCCGCGCTTCCCGGCTGCCTCTCGTGCTACCCACGCAGTGGCTCCCGTGGGATTTGAACTCAGCACATATTCATGAGATTTCAAGTACTCAACCACTTTATCGTGGAAGAAAATGTGTAATAATGCAAACTCTTTTATATTTAAATACGATAATGTAGAAATATAAATTTTTTAAATAAATTAAAATAAAATATTAAAATAAGTTATTAAAGTATTAATTAATAAAAATAAGTTAATTATTAATTTAACAACTTTTTTAAAATTTAAAAATAAATTAAAATAAAATATTTAAGTTATTAATTAATTAAAATTAAAAGAAGTTATTTAATTAATAATTAATTAAACTAAGTTATTAACTTAATAAAAAATTAAAATAAGTCATAAAAAATGTGAATGAATTAAATTACAAATATACAATTTTTTCAAAAAATATTAAAATTCACTTGAAAAGCCGTCAAAAGTAAATTCGCTAGAAATTCCGCTGGGAAATTGGCATGAAAATTAGTCGGAAATGTTCCATCGCAATCCTTTGGAAATATGTCTGAAAATTAATTTGCCGAAAAATAGTCCGCTGGTAATGGATGATTTTTCTGTAGTATTTTTTTTTTTAATCAATTTTATTCAAAGATTTCTTCTATTCATTGTAACTCAAATCTCATTTTAGTTTTTCAATGATTTTATGTTTGACGGATTTTTTCACCTAAATTAATAAAAACTATATTTTCTCCTGATTTACTAAGTTTTTATTGTATAACTTTTCAAATATGATAAATTAAGATTTTATGAACATTTTGACTGTAATATTATTTATTTCTACTAAGTAAAAAAGAAAGTTATGATTTTCTTATATATATATATATATATATATAATATTTTCTTGTATTAGACAGAATTGACTATTTCATATCATATTTTGATTGTGGCATTTGTATAGGTAAAGAAGGCTGACAGTTAACATTATAAATTAGATTCGCTACTAAAATGTCATACCATATGTAGAAAGGTGGGTTGACAAACTTTATGTGAAAGATAGGTTATAGTGTTATGCTAGTTGTAGCATGTAATTGTTGACTAATTACATTGACAAACAAATGATGATGACTCTTTATTGATTTAGTAAAGCCACTTATAATGATAATTGATTAATTAAATAAATGATAAATGATATGACTGATGACCATCTAAAAAGCTAACAATTGATGTAATTTGGTGTATTTAGTTGTGAAAGTCTTTAAAAGATCAGTGATCCAAATGAAGAAAGAAAGGTCCGTCACAGGGAATTTCTTTCTCATTTGGGTACCCTCCTGAAGGACGTATCGTATGAAGATCCAAGGAAGACGATCAGGAGAAGGACTCAATGACGAAGATGAAGATGAAATGTCTTGCTTTTAAGACTTGTGTCATTCAGTAAGATTAGAATCCAGGTTATCAGTGGGGCCTGACCACTATTACTTTTTTGCAGACCCTAAATTGTACTATATATGGCGCTTGCCATAAAATTTTTCTTTATTTTTTACTCTGCTGGTTTTCATTATATTGATGTGTTTATTTTATTTACGCAGTAGAAATGACATGCTTTTCTTATGTTTCTTTCTTGCATGTGTGTAGCCTGATTTCGCTAGGCTCTTTAAGGACTAAATTTTTTTCTACTTACAACTAAATTTTAATATTTTTGGAATTAAATAATATAGAATTTTAACGATATCTAGGAAATAGTCAAAATTGTCTGGGGTTATATGACATTATCGCATTTTTCTCTCTCTTTACTTTAATACACTTCCCCGCATGCGGGTTATCACGACCCAACCCGACCGGGACGGATCCCGCTCGCATCGGGCCGCGACAGAGCCAACAAATTCAGAATCTGGCTTTGGAATTTGCTTCAAAACTTTCTTCCAAACATAACACAGACAGAAAAAATACAGAGTTACTAAAAATATCCAAATGCAGCGCAGTTCATCTATCTTTTCTTTCACCAAAATAATCATATAAAGATACAGTACATGGCTTACGGACAGAAAGAACAGAACAGAAC